TGTTTGTTTCTCTTCGATTAGCATAATTGCTCTCTTACTACTTAATGACTTCTGGAAAATTATTTGTGCCCTCACCACCCACGAATTTTTTCCTTTTAACTATTCACTTCGCTTTAATCTGTTCAAATGATACATCACTCGCGCTCTCGTCATCCAAGAATTTGTTACATTAAACTATTCAATTCATTATAATCTGTTCAAATGTTTATCACTCGCGCTCTCATCATCCAAGAATTTGTTACATTTAACTATTCACTTCGCCTTAATCTGTTCAAATATTTATCACTCGCGCTCTCATCGTCCAAGAATTTGTTACATTTAACTATTCAATTCACCACAATCTGTTCAAATATTTATCACTCGCGCTCTCATCATCCAAGAATTTGTTACATTTAACTATTCAATTCAACATAATCTGTTCAAATATTTATCACTTGCGCTCTCATAATCAAGGAATTTGTTACATTTAACTATTCATTTCGCCTTAATCTGTTCAAAAGATACATAACTTACGCTCTCATCCAAGAATTTGTTACAGTTAACTATTCAACTCACCATTATCTGTTCAAATATCTATCACTCGCGCTCTCATCATCCAAGAATTTGTTACGGAGTTTCAATTATTGAGCGCCTCATTACGGCGGCCCAGGCTGCGGTCAAGAGGGTGCCGTAAAGTTCGGGTGGTCCAAGAGAGAATTTACAACTTTGCCTTGTATTTCTTACCTGCTTCGTTTTTCTAATACGTTTCTCTTCCATGCACTGACGTGTGAAGAACAACCTTGTTTCTTCTTCAATAGAAATATTCCTTATATCATTTTTCTCGTGTAATGAAAAATACATTTCTGACTGAATTTTTCAATCTAAGTTTTGGCAGCAGTTAACAATATTCTCATGATGTATTCAGTTTTTTGGCCTCATCCGTTCATATATAATGAATATTTCACAATCAAAATTTGTGCCCCATCTCCCATTATAAATCAGTTTTCTAATAAATATATTTTCTACAGTGAAACATCGGTCTCTTAACCCAATAATTCTGTACAGTTATATATACCTACACGTAACGGATCTACGGTGAAAATACTGGAAAAATTGTCCTCAATTTCTTGATAGTTTCTTAACCTCAAACATCTGCCCATCCTTTCTTAACCAGACTCAAACATCTGCCTTTTGTTCACGTTGGTTTTGCTGGTCTGTTGGGTAACCATGCCCTGCTGGAAGGTACATATATTGGATCGGTCAAGTTCTTTAATGTTAGAACTTTTTTAGAAAACTGGTAAGTATTTGTGTCACTTCGAACTATTTGTGTGTGCACTTCATTTTCAATCGTAGGCACTTATAATAAATCTTTGACTTATTATTCGATTTTTTCTCTTTTTTCTCCATAGATCTTTCTTTGGTTTCTCTTGGCCATAATGAAATACTGAATGGATATGTTCAGATTTTGGTTGACGACCCCTTATCGTCTGGCTGAGATCAGGACGGGTCGCTTTAGACTTTAGAGGATGGGTGGTGCAGGAAAGGGTTGATTCCACGTAGTGCTGGGTAGGAGCTGAGTGCTGTTGGGATAACAATACGGGCAAAAGCAGAGCAAAATCAGGCCGAAGCGCAGCAGAGTTAGGCATAAGCTGAGCACAGTGCTGTTAGGGCAACACAAGAGACAAGAGCAAAGCAGAGTAAGGCAGCAGTGGAGCAGAGTTGGACAGGAGCAGAGCAGAGTCGTACAGGAACAGAGCTGAGTCGGACAGGAGCAGAGCAGAGTCGGACAGGAGCAGAGCTGAGCTAGGAGGAGCCGTGCAGGGTTAGTGGACTGGGTTGGAGGACAGGGTCTCCGCGGCATCACCTGCCCTCTCGCCGCTTCCTGTGGCGCGTGTGCAGCTGCCGTCTTGCGCAGCAACCCCAGCGACGGCTGCGACTGCAACGGAAACTACGGAAATGGCTTTAAACGCAACGGCTACGGCTGCGACGACCACAGCTGCAACGGCCACGGCTGCAACGGCCACGGCTACGGCTGCAACTGAAACTGCTTCAATAGCAACGGCCGTTGCTACGGCTCCGCTCGCTTCAACGGCACAGCGGCAACACCAAAGGCTACCAACCCAATAGCTCCGACCCCAACGTCCTCCGTGACAACGGCGAAATTGTTAATGGAAGCAGCGGCCAACAACTATAATGTCATGGACAGCAACAACTGCAACAACAAAAAGAATTTTATTATTATCTCATCAACTCAAATGGGAGCAGCAAAGACTGAACTGACATCAGGAACGATGGAACTGACATCAGCAACGACGGAACTGACACCAGCAACGATGGAACTGACATCAGCAACGATAGAACTGACATCAGCAACGATAGAACTGACATCAGCAACGATGGAACTGACATCAGCAACGACGGAACTGACATCAGCAACGACGGAACTGACACCAGCAACGATGGAACTGACATCTTCAGCAACGATGGAACTGACGTCAGTATAACGACGGTCGACGGCTGTCAGCAACGACAGCTGCATGACGGTGCATCAACGAACCACAATCAGGGGAGTTGGTCAAATCACACCAACCATAATAATTAGCAGGTTTGGTGTGGATTTTTTTTATATACCCCCAGTGGGATGATTTAAGTTTCCAGATAAATTAAGCTTTGAGCAAATACCTTGTTCTTATTGCTTTCTTGTATATATATTTTTTTCCATCAGCCGTATATTTCATTCATTGATTGGTTTTCGCATTTCTTCCACCAATAGTGTTATCACATTGACGTCTTTTTTTAAAATAAAAACTTTTTGCCAACATTTTTCCTAGTCCTTAATTGAAAAACTGAAAATTTTCAAATTCATCTACGTAAAGCATTAGACTCGAGGGTTACCTACTCCCAAGGCCCTAACCCTGAGATGCAAGGGTCCCTCAACCCAGGAAGAGCGTCTCAGATATCTACAATTATCAAGTATCCGTCATATATTAACTCTTCTCTCCAAGGTGATCTTATTTTCATCAATTAAATTCTTGCGGACAGCAGTTGTCTGGCCGACAGCTGTAGACCGACTAGTCCGCGGCCTCCTAAACGATGGACAGTTGGTTGGCCACGCGTGTCCGCAACTTCCTTCTCCTGCAAATTATCGACTAATCTTCCCGATTTTTTTTCAGTATCTCGAACTTTATTTCACTTGAATTAACAATAAGCTCTTACTTCAAAACCTATCATTTGAACAGCATAATTATTATATTGTTATATTCTGACCCGTTGCCTATTGCTATTGTATGATTGCATCTAAGCTTGCATGAAACACATACATGCTCACGTCATTATATCTTTGTTTATATACGTACTTCATTTACAATATTAATCATACGTCAATCCCTTACCATACTTTTTCACCTTACTCCATGAAATTATTTATACGTGAACGTCTTCATTCACAATCTTCAGTACGTTTTCATTGGCCATTTCCTGATTTTGGGCTGCGCACAATGTTTAATAGTTATATTATTATCACAATCACTGATTAATTTTTATCATGTATTCGTCTACGTATTATTTATCTCACTACTTTGAAAGATTCCTTAATATGCGTTTATTATGTCAGCTTTATATTATTTATAGCCACCAATTCCACGTAGCTCCCGTTTGAACAGTCTGGGTTTCCGTTACAGCTTGAAAGTTTTTCACTTCTTCACTCAACGGTAAAGTGATAAAAAGGGCAAGAAAAAATCTGATTTTGTTCCAGGGATTCTATAGGCTTTTTCTGACCTGGTAAAAAAAAAAACAGGCGCCGTCCTTTTGGCCGGATTAGTTCCGGGCGTCCGCATTCCGATGCTTTTCATTGAACCCTTTAACTGGCGCCGGGGCCAGCCGCAGTTTGCGAACATAAAAATTCTATATTTTTTCTGTTTCGTTCGCGTAAAATTGATTGCGCCTCCTAATAACTTAGAATTTTGCATTACATGCATTGTGCCAATTGGTTTTCATTTTTATTATTTGCACGGAATTTCAATTTTTCCTAATCAGTCTTCTATACCTTAGAAATATTTTTCGTAATAAACGTCGATTACCGAATAATTTTTCTTTGTGCGTTTTAAGTACTAAATGAAACAGCGTTAATTCGACTAATTCATTCCACGATTGGGCAATTTTTTCCACAATTTGATCGTATTCTATCAAGCCAACAAACCTGATGGTATGCAAATGAATGTTTTTTCTTTCTATACGTCAGGAGCGTTTCACTTCCTACGCTTTCATCCTTCTTTTGTTGATCCGGGAACTTTTTATTCCGGTCATCCAATTGATATCCTTTCTTTGATAATAATAAAAGTTTTTTTCAGTTGTTCGCAGACGAATTTTTTGTGCAACTCTCAAAATTTGCATGCAAAGAAAAGGCTTTTAAGCTTTTCTATTTCACGCACGAGCTTTGACATTGGATATGCTTTATTTAGGGAGAGGCAGTCACTACCTGACCAGAGGTTGGCTGCCGTTCTTGGTTTAATTTCTAACCTTAATTAATGCGGGATCTAAATTTTGTTTTGAAGGCTTCGGAACATTATTATATATAATATTATATAGTCGGATATAATATTATTTATTTGGAACCGTATTTTTATATATAATATTTTATATTCTGATAGATTGTTATTTATTCGGAACCTTATTATTATATATATTAAATTCGGTACATGCTAACCAAATAATGGCTGGATAGATAAAATTCACCGCTGCTATTTTCAGTAGATTCTTGTTAACCATTTTCATACACATTAACTGAATACTTCATGGGTCAATGAATTTCACATTTGTTATTTTTTAGGAATATTTCAACTACAAACTAGACGAATTAATTAAAATTATTCGCCTATTTTTTATTTTAGGTAACTTTTTTAGACTTGTTATCAATAATTGGAACAATGAACATCAATTTTGAGTTTTATGCATAAGTTAAATTGTAAATATTATTTCATTTTAAGCCAGATTTTAAACATTTCCTTTTCTTATTGTTGCAGAATCAGATTTTGTTGGTACGAAGCCTTCGCTGATCGCGACGGCGGCAATCGTGTCAGCTGTGCGAGGGATTTATCCTCATCTCGGCAAACCAGCCATGGAAATTTTATCCCAATGTTTGCGGACAGACATGAATGAAGTCAAGTATGTATTGGACACACTAGAACGCACGGTGGACAGAACTTCAAAAGAAGGATCAAGTTGTGGGGACTTGTCATACTCTTCCGAGGCGTCGGACGATTCTCACAGCAGTAGCCTAAGTAGTAGTTATAACAATAAGCTTAGTGTTAATCTACCCCCTAATAAACAAATGTCCAGAACAGCGCATGTAGATCCCAACTACATCTGCTACTCCCCTCTACAAGACGACTCCCTCAATGGCAGCGTCGAGGACTCCCAAAGTGGGAGTTCAGATTACGAAGGTTATGAAACTCCCACTGATATAACTGATGTACACTTCGCAGAATAAGACTTAATATTATTTATCTAGTTCAGTCATGCTACAACAGAGCAGATGTAAAATATTGCTCATGATTCTCATCGCTAATGTTTATCGTGCAAATGTTTCATGATCTCAACCTTACTCAAAATACCGTTATTTCTCAATTTTCATCCTGCATAAACAGCGTTAACATTCGATTATAAGACATAAAATTTCTAAAATTCTGGATTGAAAATTAAGGAAGCTAAGGCATGGACAATGGAAGAAGTAAACTGTGTTCAGTTAAGGTTTATTTCGTTCACTGCACAGAAACTCAGGCCTCGTACCTATATATTGTAACTCTAGTGCTATTCGTACGCCACATGTACAAAAGTATTCGATGACCGCACGTACAAAAAATGCATAACGTTGCGCGTAGCTTCCTATTGGTTTAAGATAATCATCTTATTTTTATTTTATTAATTAATCATCCTCCTGCAATCCACTTTGTACATTGGTATCTTCACCACGTTTTTCATCAATGCCGTAGCAACGGTCCAACTTTACCTCATTTGTGATTTCAACAGTCCATTTCTTATTGAAGTTTTGTGTTCAACAGTCCCTTTTGTATCGCATTTGTGTGTTCAATAGTTCATTTCTTATAACATTTTGTGTTCAATAGTTCATTTCTTATAGCAGTTTTGTGTTCAACAGTAAAATTTTGACATCAAACTGCGTTCTTGACGGTGGGCCGATATGGCTATGTGAGTGCAAACAAAATTTTATGCATTTCATTCTTGTACGAGACCATTGGTTTTGCCACTTGTGATTGCTAGTAGTATTGCTAAAATGATTTATTTTTGTAGTCATCAAATTCATAAAATATATGTTCTCTAGTCAAACCCTCTGCAACCACACAACCTGGTCTAAATAATTTCTTATTTCAACTAAAATGTTGAAAAGTTCGATGCTAAACCGGCCCAGGTTCTATCATCTTCAAAATAACTTGAATGCTTTGAAAATCTCGTAAAGGTAACGAATATTAGTATCTTTAGCCATAAGTCATTTTTATGAATTTTGCAAACTAAGAAAAATGACATCAACAGAAAATAGAAATTTTAAAAACTCACATTTCTCGTCGAATAAGTGAAAATTCTGCGCGTTGAAAACATTCATATACTCTATGGGATACGCAGTTTATTTATGTTCATACAATTTATAATTAAGATATTTTAATGGGAGCTAGCCTCGGGCTCGCATCACCAGCTCACAGGCACGTATAGTTCAAGGTATTACTTGTCGAATATCACAAAAAAATTCGCGTTTTAGAATGTCTCGTGCGCATAAAAAATAATTTTAAGAAACAATTTTTATTTTAATTAGGAAAGAGATGTTGGCGCACAAGTGCGTTAAGGTTCATGATCAAATTAAAAGACTATTTAGCCTTAACTTTTAAACTTAAAAACATGCCTGCAAGTTTCATTCAGAATTTTTGAATATGATGCATAATTGAAGAATGAAATTCTTTAAAAAATTCTTTGAATACCTAAGACTTTGAAATGTGGATTGTTTTGCAGAGAACCTATTCAATATTCTGTGTAATTTCATCGTGTATAAATATTTCAATGTATTGTTAAAAAGCTCAAGGAAATATTCGAGCATCTAAAACGCTCCAGATATAATTATGTTTACAACGAAACTCTAAAAGTTCTGGACTTTAAATGAAAGTTACGACCAAGTTAAATTCATTGAACTGGGGCTACCTCAGCCATGGCGCTTATGTCTCATATAAGACATACCAAACAATATCATGGCATCCTCAGCCATGTCTCGTGTCTCACGAGACATACCAGCTCCATGTATAGTAAACTGCTGTATACTGTCATCCTTACGTACAGTATACTGCTGTAAACTGTACAGCCTTACGTACAGTATACTGCTGTAAACTGTACAGCCTTACGTATAGTATACTGCTATAAACTGTACAACCCCACGCACAGTATACTGCTATATACAGCACAGCCTTACGTACAGTATACTGCTGTATACTGTACAGCCTAACGTACAACCAGTAACCAAAGAACAGTCTCAGCCATACTCCTGACCTCTTGTTGAAGCCGCATCTGAAGTTAATTATTTTAACAACTCATATAGGAGTTTATTCATATCGGTCTCTTCCTCGCATCAGAACTGAACGCTCAGGTACGCCTATTTTGTTTGTTTTTGTCATGCCGCATTAAACTACCGACGTTTGACCTTTTGATCTCTTGGACGAATCGGGACTAAGTTATTAGTTAGCACCTAACGAGGTTTTTTATTGAAGTGTGTTATGTTGAATGCAGCGTTTTGTTAGGGGCCGTTTCTTGTTCTGAGACTGATCCTCAACCTATCCAAGTAAAGGCCAGTATGCGTGTCCTTCACATTCGTACTCGTGCCTCAAATTTGGGAAAATTTCGTACTCGGGCCTCAAATTTTGGAAAATTTCGTACTCGTGCCTTAAATTTGGGAAAATTTTGGCAGATTTTAGCAAATTAGATTATAATTTTAGGTGCATATATGATTTCGCTGAATTATTGCTTATATGTTATACCCTTTACTCCCGATCTTCAATTCTCTTATATTAATTTAAACCTTTCTATTTGAATTCAAAACATGGATGAATTTTGACGAATATGACGCTTGGGTAAAGAATAACTGCTAAGAAATAATTAAAATAAGTCCTTTTGTTAGGTATGAATATCGTTAGGAATGTCGTCTGTCATGTCTTTGGAAATCCAATTCGCTAAATGGCTTTTAGTGAATTTAAATTTTGGCTTTTAAATTGTAACTTTTTTTGAGTCAGGCCTTTGATTTATAAATCTCTTCCAGGTAACGAAGTTGATTATCTTTTCCACTTAAGTAAATTATGTAAGTTTGAAGTATCAGACGCCTTTTTCTTCGTAGTAGTCAACCATTTAAATAAAATATTCATAAAATGTAACTTTATATTCCTCATAATTGAAGGATTTCTAGCGATCCCCGTAGTTTCGGAAAGATCTATGGAGATTTTAATATAATATTTTTTCTCGTTCCAAAATGAAGTGAACTCAGTTGCTTTGTTGTTTGTATGATGGCGGTTAAAAGTTGAATTTAAGACAAAATGAATGCAGATTTATGTTGATTACTTTGTACTAATAATTAAGTTTATCGTTTTATCGTGCGGCAAAAAGATACAGTTGGTTATTATTGAAATTCTAACTCGTTGAAATTTGTTAATGTTGAGAATATGTAGGTTGAATTTGTGTATTTTAGGAGCAGCTGATGTTCAATTCATCCGTGATGTTTTGCCACTTCATTTATTAGCCTAAACAAAGCATTTTCTTCCATTTCACCTAAATAATCGGATAATTGATTGCCCATCGATGATTCGCTTCGTATTGCCATGTACATGATATTAATCACTTAGACAATATTAATATTATCATGTAGATTATATTGATCACTTAGACAATATTAATATTATCATGTAGATTACATTGATCACTTAGACAATATTAATATTATCATGTAGATTATATTGATCACTTAGACAATATTAATATTATCATGTAGATTATATTGATCACTTAGACAATATTAATATATTCATGTAGAGAATATTAATATTGTGATGTAGACGATATCAATATTGTCATGTAGGCAGCATGCGAGGTGGAATTGATGAATAGTTTACGAGTATTCAAATCTTTTGTCTGAACCAAAGATGATGCTAGCGCTTGTTTGATCATGATGACAATGATAATATGTTGGTGATGACAACGATAATGAAGACGTAATGAAGACGATAACGACGAAGATTATGATAACGCTAGCATAGTTCGAACACCCGTTTTAAGTCGCTTTTTTGGATAGTTTTCGGGCTCAATGAAGTGTTGCTATACCGCCAGGGTTAAATTCCTAGTTACTGAACATTTTAGTTTATATTTGCTGATACCATTTTATATGTTGATTCGCTTCTACGAATTTAGAGCCTCTTACTGGCGTTTATTAAACAATACATTGAATTTCTATTAATATTTAACGTTGAAATTATATGTTATGTTCCTTATTAACGGCACATAGAATAGAATTTTTCAAATGGCTCATTAAATGTCACTTTTAATTACTCATTAAATGTTATCAATTGAGCTGAATGTTGAAATCTCTATTAAAATTACCAGCGTGTCCCATAATGGGCTATTCAAAACGCTATTCATCGGCCGCCAATAGTAATTTAATGATATCTATCATTTTTTTTATATTTCGATGATAGCGATGACTTTTTATATTTCCAAGATACTAATGATTTTTATACTTTGATGAAAGCGATAATTTTTATTATTGTGGCTATGCGTCGCAGATCTCATGTAGGTAGGCTAGGCCTCCTCAGGCTAGGCCCGCTCTGTTCGTTGTGAAGAACTTCGTAAGTTACACTCATAAAATGAACTGGGGTCATACTTTCAAAACTCGCCAAGTGAACGTAAGTACTTACGCTTTATTTTCTTGTCTATGATTGGTGGATTTTGCTTGAAAGGCCGTCAATGATTGGCTGATGAACTTACGATCTCTTAACTTTTTTTGAAAGTAAAGGCCCTGGTCTTATTGCCCAAATAATGACACACTTTTTTGCTCACAGCACACCCGACGTAGCACTGATACGACATTTTTTCGTGCCAAACCGGGTCGCGAACGCTTACAGAAGCGAAAAAGTGCGTCGGTATTTGGACGAACACTCACTCATTTGTCTGTGTGTGCTAAGTTATTTTAATTTTTCTTCTTGAGTTAGTAAGCCTGTCCTGTAGATTGTCTTAGATGATAGTCATCTCAATTTATTGATTTAATTATTGTTAAACATGAAAAATGTACTCTAACGCCGTATTCTTTTGTACTTGAAAGTAAAAAACATATTTTCTGGAAATAAAATCTTTTGAATTAAACTCCCAATTGAGTCTTTTTCTCATAAAAACTGCATGAAATTCATTTATAATCGAAAATTTCTATCAGAAAAAGCTGTATTCATATTTTTATTATAATTGAATCTGTCTCTATTGATATCTTAAAATTTTTGTTTGCAAGTTTCGATTCCGAGATTGAAAAATAATACGGATTAAATTATTTAATATATTATATACAATAATTCAAGATTCACTCGTTTGCTTGAATCGCAAATTCACTAAAAACTTTAATGCAAAGAAAACTCCACAAAAATTCATAGTATCTTTAAAGAAAACGTTTCGGAGTCCAGCTCCATCGTCAGTTCGAAAATTCTAGAGCACAGATAAATCAGAATTAGTACAAGTCAAGATTACATCAATAAACCTAAGGTGCAAAACCTACCTATTTACAATTTCAAGCGGGTAAGAGCAAAAAGCTAAATTCAAACTAGGCCTCTGTTTAAAAATATACAAAGATTCTAAAATACGCAAATCAGAAACACCGGAACTGGAAGCTAACACTTTGAAGTCGCTGTCAGAAACTGGAACATCACACTGCTCGGCGTGAGCCCGCACAGCCGAATGAGGTGGGCGCGACAGTAAGTTACCAGTTCTACAACTCCTGCCCCTGTGTTCTGCGACCCTAGAATAAAGGTTGCGAGACGTCATCCCGACGTACGCAGATGCACATCGTGCACAACTATATTTATAAACTAGGGACGCTCGCATATGCACAGGGAGAGTATCGTTGTACCTAAAAAAAGAACCGATTTTAAAATGGTTGACCAATATAACACGAAGATTAACATTTGTGAAATACTTGGAAAACAAAAGTTTTAGCTCCCTTGACATAGTTTCGGATGCAGGGCCGAAATATGGAAAAGAGCAATAAACAACATCCCTGCCGTCGCGCTCACGCCGAGCAGTGTGAGGTTCCAGTTTCTGACAGTGACTTCAAAGTGTTAGCTTCCAGTTCCGGTGTTTCTGATTTGCGTATTTTAGAATCTTTGTATATTTTTAAACAGAGGCCTAGTTTGAATTTAGCTTTTAGCTCTTACCCGCTTGAAATTGTAAATAGGTAGGTTTTGCACCTTAGGTTTATTGATGTAATCTTGACTTGTACTAATTCTAATTTATCTGTGTTCTAGAATTTTCGAACTGACGATGGAGCTGGACTCCGAAACGTTTTTTTTAAAGATACTATGAATTTTTGTGGAGTTTTCTTTGCTTTAAAGTTTTTAATAATTCAAGATCAATTAGAAAAGAGAAATCGTTTAGATCAAGTGAACAACCACGCTCGAAACGAAACATAGAAAACTAAATGTCTGATGATCTGAATAAATTTATTGTTTTATCGTGAAATGTAGATACCTCACAAGGTGCTTACATGCAGAATGAACATGCAAGGAATTTACCATACAAACACGTACTCATCTTTTGAACTTAAGGGCTACAGTGATATAAAAATCTTGTATTAGATTCCGACCATTGCTGACCTATGAGAAATTCCGAGATTGTTCAAGTGTCACCTTACGAATTTGAGCCGAACGTCAAAAATTATTCATGAATTACTTTGAAATTTTTCGGATAATAGACGATATCATTCAAAATTTAATTAAATCCTATAAATCCAGGAATCTCGGTGTGATTTCCGTGCATGGACAGGAAATTATGGATGAGATCCAGTAACTGGATGAAGAACAGTAATATTTCCAGCCTTGTCCTGGAATTTCATCGGGATTAATTCCATTAAAACATATAAGTATTGAGAAGCGTTGAGAATTTAACTGCTGAATCATGCGCCTGAGTCTCATCATGACAACAAAAAGCTCACAATAAACAATTAGGCTTTCTTGTACTCAACGTACAATAGGTAAGTAAACTCTTGCTTAGTGAACTGGAAATGAATGAGCTTGCGGCTCGCTGCGCTGCCTCAAACAGCGTCCCAATATAGGATCATTCCTACAGTTCGATTGGCGAAGGAAATTCTTGAGGAAGATAATTTGCTTAAAGTATGTGTAATTTTAATAAGTCATTACCCATTGTGCCTATAATCCTTAGGCCGACCATACTGGCCGCAGCCTCACTCGAATTTCTAAGGCTAGGCCTACGGCCTACTCCTGCCGCTATTGTCCTTTCATGAATGTTCTTCCAACAATGCGGTCTCATTTATGTTCAAGAAAGGTTAAGATCACCATAGGCCTTTAGGCAATTTTCCTTCCCCATGATCAAAATTTTCAATTTAGGTCTCGTCGATGTAGTGTACCCTTTTCTTGCTTTCCAGTGACGTCTAGTATTTTCTATTGTTATTTTTAAATAAAAATTCAGTAGCACGAAAAAATTATATATGATTGCCTAGAATTTTGCTAACATTTCCATTTCGTGAGATAAATCACAAATGAGAAGAACGTTAAATGAATTTGGATGCTCCAAAAAAATGATCTAATTCCAGCACTCGCCGAAAAACGACTACTCCAGGCAACAGGTTTAACAAGGTCGAACTTCCGGCCAAGTATACCGCATTTTTCTAGTTAAGAGCTTCTTTTTAACCGTTCTGCTCCAGAGTTCAATTGATAACATCTTGAATTTCATGGAATTAATCAACCATCCCTGATTGACTCTCACGTTCTTCAGTAAGGCGTGAAATCATCCAATGGTGTCATGTGAATTCAGCGACTGGAAGGCCATAACAAAGGCTGACGAGTTTAGAAAATTAAACTTAAGATTTTTTCTTTTCAGCAAAATCTCATTTTCAATAAATGCTTATCTCTAAACAGTCATTGCAATTGCACATAAGCGTGCTGACATACATTGACACATGGTGTGATTTTAGACATTTGTAAAACATTTCACTTGAAACTCACTGCACAAGAAAAGAGTTATTCTAAGCTATACCTATCATAGTTTTTACCTGAGGTTTATTATATAGAACATTTGGAGTAGATTAGTTATGTATGAGTGATGTCCAATGAAGTGCACTTGCCTGGTAATTATCTGCCCATAAATTATCCAGGATTATCATTTTCGTCGCATAGAAAGACAATTATTTATTTTAAAATGCCCCAGCCAATTGTCGGGCAACGAATATTGCATTAAGTTTGTATGTAAATCAATCAATTCTGATCTGACATCCACTATCAGTGATGTCATGATAGAATAATTTCTTTATATATGCTTTACCTATCAAATACTATTTGTATATATCAATATATGTTTCTTTTTATAAATATACTGTTCTTATAAATTTGCTCTATGATTCTGGAGCACTACAAATGGAGCAGAATTACGTCTCTGGCATTGTTGTTCGTTCCTGACAAAACAAATCGACCCATCCTATCAAAACGAACCGTACGCTCCGGCCTCCTTGAGTGAAGCCGGAAATGATCGCAGCAACTTATTTTGTCCCTATAAACTTTGATCTTTAACGATTCAGCTTTTTACAATCAAGGGTAATTTTTTTTCGCTGAAAGTCTGTTTTTCCAATTCTGTCAGGCATTTAAAGTTGGTACACCGCATCAGAATAAGTTATTTTCTTGCAACAGTTATTATGTAATTTAGTGGCACTTGTCGTAATGTAGAGACCCCCATGCCTCTTGTAGTACGTCTCTTTAGAATTAATTTTTAGAAAATTCAAGTTCTGCCCTTCGAGCAATTTTCTGTAAAACCGGAAAGACCGGAAAGTTGCGTTGATATAACGCATGTTGTTAATTGGGCCACCAGTGGGTCATAGAACATTAAGACCATTGTAACATAGAACATTAAGACTATATAGAACATTATATAATAGTATATATAAGCCATTGTAACATCACACATGAAGCCAATGAACATAGGCCACGATAATTACGGTAATATTGGCACCCGCCACAACCACTGCCCAGGGCAGCTCCATAAATATTGATATCCTATCCTATTCAATAATTTTTTTAAGCTGTCGAAGTCTTCCTGTACGTGAGGCGAGACCACCGCCTACTCTTATTTCCACAGAAATTTCATATTTTCTATCTACCATGAATAGCATGATTCACATATTCACCAGGAAACTCGGACATTCAAAAAAATATACTCACATATAAGACTTATCCACCCACCAACTAATAACTGTGCTATATCAACAACAGTACCCATCATCCACTACACTATACCCATCATCCACTACACTATACCCACCATCCTCGCCACTATANCCACGCCACTATACCCATGCCCACAGTGCCGTTGTCCGCCGCAATAGGCTCAGCGGTACCCCGGAGTGCGGATAAGTGGAGTGCCGGCTTCCTCCGGATTTAATAAGACCTTGTCTCCCTCGTATCAGATTCTGGAGATTTACGACCGCACTCAACAGCGGACGACTCGGACGCATGGCCGCGGCTTTGATCCGCCGTCCGCGTTGACGGAAAACAGGCAAGACTGTCCGGCGTGACGGATGTACGAGGATCGTCCGGCGCTGTGGGGGCGGGTGAGTGATCATCCGGCGCTGTGAGGGCGGATGAGTGATCAATGATGAGCGGCTATCCAGTGACGCAGGCAATGATAGAATTACCGATGATAGGGAGAGTAAGCA